ATTTCTTAGAGTTTTTAGAGAGATAAACTCTAGAACTGAAGGAGATCTTTCTTTCTTTTGACTTCTTAGAAGTGTTTTGATTCTTCCTTAGAACAGAGGTTGTTGTAGTTGAATAGAGATTCAAAGTTGAGGAATTGAGAATTAGGGGGAAAATCTTCGTATGAAAAGTCAAAATTCTTTGAGTTTTCTTCTTCATTTCCTTTGTTCCTGTGGATTCGAGATAAGAGGTGCTTGTTGTTTGATTCTTTGGAGTTGCATGTTGAATTTTCCTATTGGTGGCTTAATTTGTTATTTTTTAGATAGTTGTTGAAGATGGCGTAGTTGAGTTATTGGGGTTGATGAACCGAAACTCAAAATTGATGATTTCTTCATGTATTTATGTTGCATGTTGAATCTACTGTTGGATTTGTGTTATATAAGTTATTTTTCATGGTTTGGATTTTAATTTTTGAACTTATAGATGAGTTGATGCAATAGGATGTCTAGAAATAGTGAAGTTGCATGTGAGCCAACACAATTTCATTGGGCCTAAATTTCATGGTTAGGTGAAATTAGCGGTAGAGACCATTTGGAAACCAATCTAGCTAGGCCAAGTTTCCTTAATCAGATGAAATTTGGACATATTTATCTGAAGGGTGTTTCAAGTCAAGTTGGTTAGGTCAATTTTTTATGGTAGGACTAAAGTGGAGAAAAGACTATTTTGAAGTCAAATTGACTAGGTGATTTTAGGGACTTGCAAAATATTAATGCTTTTATCTATTACATTGATGTTGTAAGTTGAATAATTTTGAAGTTATGTTATATTATGATGTTTATGATTTTGAATCATGTTATAAGATATTGAAATGAAGTATGTTGAGTTGTTTAAGTTGAATGATAATATTCAAAGTGTTGTATAAATTGTGTTAAATGAGTTGAGATATTGTGTTACAGGAACAAAACAAGATTAGGTTGGAGGGCAAACAAGATGTTGTGGCACACTGGTGATGGGGATGTTTGGTGTAGGCTGTTCTGATACAATTAGTTATTACTTGATCGATGACTTAAAATTTTATAATCATGATATTATATATGTAGGTATATAAGATTTTGTTGTAATCCCAATGAAGGATCTTTACATTTTTAGTTATTTATTCTCATACATATATACTGCAACATGAATATTCAAGTATTGTTTGAATGATAATCATATATTAGATTATGTTTACGTTTTTCATTATTAAGTTGTTGAACTGTAATAAGTGTATAGACTTATCGGATCATTTTATAAAGAAAATAATATATCTATTTATCTCAACAATAATAATAATAATAGTAAATATATTATAAATTTAATTTTAATACACTAGTGTAAATATTTTTTATATTATCATTTAGTTATATAAGATTATTGATTTTTTATTATAATTCATTTTTAAAATTATATTTAAAATAATTACTAGTTGGTTGATAATATAAAAATCTTTAAATTGTTAAAAGTTTTTCTTTTTAAGATTACTATGTTAGTGAAAAATATTCATAAATTTTGTTTAAAATTAATTTTTATTAAAAATTTGGTTAATTATTTTTAATAGAGTACTCTCGCTAGGTTTTGTTTTTTTTCTTCACTTAGCTGATCACTTTTCTTTGCTGACCTCTCTTCTAAAAGTTATAATCATATAATATAATATTATATGCAAATGATAAGACGTCATTTTTATCCATTTTAAAATTAAGGAAAGAATCTTTTATCAACTTAATAATTATACCAACCATTTTCCCGGTGCAATTCATGATGTGTAGTGTCTACCTAACGAAATTATTTGTACTTTTTTAAGTTTAAAGGGCTAATCAGTATCTAAATAAATAAATAAAGGGTTAATCAATATATGTACCCATAACAACCCGTGAGCTTTTACTCTCTCATGCCAGCCTCATCTTTTTAAGATATTGAATTACTAGTACTTAAGTTAAGAAGATTTTACCATCAATTGTTATGTTGGTGCATGTTGAATAGCTAGTGTTTTGAAATAATTGACCTATGGAGTGTTAGGTGAAATAAAATTAAAAGTAAATACCCTTCACCTTACACCCTAACTTTACAGACAAGTTACTTTTCTATAATCTTGAATAAAGTTGAAATGAATGATTAAAACATTAATTGATTGGTCTGTTCCTAAAAAAACGAAATACATTATTCATAAAAATAAAAATAAAAATAAAAATGATTGGTCTATGCTTTTTAGATTTGTTATCATTTTTGTGATCTCTTTCTTTACTTTCTTTCATGTCATCTCTTTTTAAGTTAAAAGAACCAAAAAGTTTCAAATGACATTTTTTAAGACTTTTATTTTAAGCTTTAATTTTAAAATAGTTTTTAAGCCAAAAAGAAAAAAGTTAGACTAAACATGATTTAGGATAGGTTCATACGTGTATTGTGCATGATTTCAAGCTCAAAAAGTCTTTACAAATATATATCTTGAAATATAATGGATTGATAAAATAAGTTGAGAGAAATAAAATGAAATGAAATAAGATTATCATTTTAGTGTTTATTTTTAATGATGATATAGAGAAACAAAATTAAAAGGTTGAAAGAGAAGTTCATCATTTAAGTGATGGAAGAAAATTTAACACAATAACAATAATTTAATAAAAGAGAAACAATGTTGTTTGCAAGAATCAGTGAGGATCACAAACAAAATAGAGCAAAAATATATATTCAAACATACAAGAAATACAAGAATTTTTAACGTGAAAAATTCCTTAATATAAGAGTAAAAATCATGAGTTGTCTAAACTAAAGAAAAACTCTACTATGATAAATAAAGGGTATAAAAGAGTCTCTAACAAATGCACAAACAATGCTTACAATCAACCAAAATAAGCTAAGTACAATTGTTTACAAATGAGAAATAAAATGAAACCTCAAAAATAAAGTTGTTACTACAAGAAGCATTTCTCCCACTCTAAACCTTTCTTAGACAATCCAACCATTGAAATGAAGAACCACATCCTACAACATGCTCTCCAAAAATTAGTCTGATCAAATGGTGAATAAATCTCTAATTGCGAATAAAAAATTGTTGACTAATGGATATGCAAACTAAACAACAAAACTTTCTCTTTTTTCTTTTCTTTATATTTTGTTGTTGTTGTTTTCCCTCAAAATGACACTCTCTCTAGCTTAACCTAACCTCTCTCCATTTAGTTAAATGAGACATAATGAGCTTACATATTTGAGTCTATTTTCCATATAAGAAGGGAGGCCAAAATCCAATAAATCTCTCCCTCACAACTATATAGAGATAACTGCCAAACCGACAATTTCACAACAAACTTCAAACTTCCCTATTGGTAATGAATTAGTCATCATATCAACACCATTATCATCAGTATGAATTTTGGCCAGCTTTAACAACTTAACATCCAAAGCATCACATATCCAATGATACCTCACATCAATATACTTAGACCTTGAATGAAAAGTTGAATTCTTACCAAGATTTATATCACTTTAACTATCCACAAATAGTAGATATTTATCCTAAATAAAACCAACACTCTTGGAAGGATTTTTTCACCCATAGCAACTCCTAACATGCTTCAGTAGTGATAATGAATTCTATCACTATAGAAGATAAAGTTACTATAGAAGATAAAGTTACGCACATCTATAGTTTAGATTGTCAAGTCACAGCTCCCCCTGCAAATTTAATCAAATAGCTTAAAGTGAACTTCATGGAATCAATGTCTCTAGCCATATCAGAGTTTGAATACCCCACCAAAGTAGGCTTATCACCACCAAAACAAAACCTCATAATTGTAGTGCATGAAGATACCTCAAAATATACTAAATGTGCCAACAATAAACTACCTGGGTTTGACATAAATCTACTAACTATGCCAACAACATGTGTTATATCTGGTCATGTGCACACCATTGTATACATCAAACTACCCACCACAAATGTAGAAGGAATTTGTTGCATATCTAATTTTTCAGTTTCATTTGATGGAATCTGTTTAGAACTCAGCTTAAAATGAGTAGCAAGAAGAGTGCTCACCACCTCGGTCTTTTCCATTAGGAATCTTCACAATTCTTTTAATATAGTGTTCCTATGAGAGCCAAAGCTTTTTCTTCTTTTTGTCACACAAGATTCTTATACCAAGAATTTGTTTAGTAGCTCCCCTGTTTTTCATGGTAAATGACTTGCCTAATTGTTTCTTCAACTTGTCAATTTTGGAAACATCTAATAAGCATGTCATCAACTTATAGTAACACGATAATGAAGTTATCTTAAGAAAATTTTCTAACAAAAATGCCATAGTCAAAAGTAGTCTTCTTGTAGCCTTACTCACACATAATAGACTCAAACTCCTTATATCACTGTCTCGGAGCTTGCTTCAAACCATATTGTAACGTAGAAAAAAAAAATGAATGAAAAAAATGATCCAGTAGCCAGAACGGGCCGTTCCCAAATTGGAACGGGCCGTTCCAAACTACTGATTTGGCCTTACAAAAATGAAGGAGAACGGGCCGTTTCGGAAGGAGAACGGGCCGTTCTGGGAAGGAGAACGGGTCGTTCCGGATGGAGAACGGGCCGTTCTGGATGAGTATTTGCAGTATTAACCACTTTATGTGTTGAGTACCGTAATAGTGATCATTGTGACATTGTGACAATTGTCTTTCCTTGCCATTATCGACTACTTTAGCTACAACACATCCAAATTACGACACAGTACTTAAGGTTTTGTTTAGCTTGTTTGTCTGTCTTACGATTTGAAATTTTGTACAACTGAAATCGGTGTTTGATTTTTGTTGTATTTAATTTCCAACTTTTAATATCAAAATTGAAATTCAATTTTCACGCATAGCTGCTCATTTCTTTATTTGCTTACCTTCTCTCTCTCTCCCTCGCAAAATAAAAATATTTATATAAATTAGTTTACAAAAATACTTAGCACCTCCTTGAATTATTTTAAAAAAATAATAAATAATAAAATTTATATAATATACAGGGGGCAACAAGTTGATGATTGACTTTACAAGTCCAGGTGGACAATTTTTCACATTATCCGAATGGGTTTCCTCCTGTAGGGAATGAATTAGAGGGGGGAGTGTTCGATAACCCACCGGTCAGCTGCTGATCAGGATTTGACAAGCCGAAAGCAGCTCCTTGATTTCCGAAATCCCCAACTTGCCTACGCAGTCAGTTAAAATCATTGAGTGGCAATTCAAGTAATGCTGAACAAAAAATAATCATAGATGTCATCCCATATAACTGCAATGAATTGCTCCTTGCACTAATCACTTCAAAAATTAGGCTAAATAAAAACTAGCAGAAGTTCTCAATGATAGCACCTAACGTAATAACATCTGCCCACATAAGAGACTAGTGAAACATGAGATGCTAAAATGTGTTTTATACGAGTAAAGGGTTCATTACATCATTTAAGTTCATTCTATATACTATGCAGCATGATTTGGGATAGATACAGGAAAGGAGTCAAAGGACCCAAAATGAGTTTCCAAGAGTTAGTATACGACCAAACCTACAATAGCCTATGCAAGAAATATTATCATGATTAAAGAGTAGTTTACCTTGCAACAAATATTATCATGATTAAAGAGTAGTTTACCTTGGTATTGGCATGTTAGTTGGCATTTGTTGCCCCATGTATGCCCCTGAAATTTTCGCATGGTTCAGAATACAGATACAAAAGCAAACGACCTTAGGCATAGAACAATCAATTGAAGAATGGTAAAAAAAAAATAAACATACTTGGCCCCAATGCAGATGCATGAATTTGTGCTTGTGTAGGACGAAATGATGATGACAGGGGTGGAGTCCAGGCAAGTGATGGATTACCCATGTTTGAAGGGTGCACTGCACCTGCAGGCGGTACACTAGGCAGGGCACCTTGCAAGGATGACATAGAAGGAAACTGTACTCGAGTAAACCAACCAGAAAATCATCAACCATGATTGTCTTTTATTTTTCCAAACAAAAACAGAAACGAAATATTCTGAAGTTTGAACTAACTAATGAATGAATATTACAGAGCCAGTTGCACTTCAATGTCTTTTCAAATTCAATGTGAAGAGATCATAAAGAAAAAAAAGATAGCAATTTTCATTCTTATATATAGTTCTGCTATAGGCAAGATGCAAACTTGAGAGTGACATGCAGTTAAGTAACAACGATGAAAAAAGAAATGTTTTTGACTCAATAATGGACAATATCCAAAGCATCATTTATCCACAAACATTCACTATTGAAAAGTAAAATCATTAATTGGCAATATTAAATGTAAATGGTTTTAATACAATACTCAGCATTACACACAAGTGGTGCATTGTATGTTATGCATGAGTAGTATTGGATAGAGTATATGGTGAGACTCTATGAATATGATTGATGATTAGATAATTGTGTAATATAGATTATTGTTCTATACTTGTATGATTGATTTGTGAATTCTAGCTTACCCTTCTGTTTCCATGTGGTGGAACTGCGATGATCATACTTGGTATGGGAGCAGGTCAGGGCTAGCTTGGAGTTGAGGTGTCCGCTGCGAGACGGGGAGTTTTGATCCTCGTGTTGGAGTTACCATTTTGGGTAACGGTTTTGTCTGTGGTTGACCGGCATTATGAAATATTATTTTTGGGATGATTATACATATATGTAGATTTATTTTATAACAAAAAAATTAGTTAATTTATTTTTATTTTGTACATGTATGTATGAGTTATCCAGCTTAATATTTCTCTTAGTTCACTAGTAGTAGTGCGATTCCACTAAGTGTAGAGACCATGGCGGGTCGTTACACATATAGGCTCTTTCTTAACCTACACACATAGTCTTCCTTTCCTTCAACAAGAAAACCATCAGGTTGCTTCATATAAATCTCTTCCTCCAAAACACCATGAAGAAAAGCAATCTTCACATCCATTTGTTCTACCTCCAAATTAAGAGTAACAACTAAACTTAACATAGTTCTAATGGATGTCATTTTCATGACAAGTGAGAAAATCTAATTAAAATCAACACCTTTTCTCTGAATAAAGCTTTTTACCACTAATCTAGCTTTATACCTAAGAGACGTAGAGTTACTCTCATGTTTCACTTTAAAAATCAACTTGTTATCCAAGACTCTCTTACCCTTGGGCAACTTCACCAAATCAAAAGTGTGATTATCATGCAAGGATTTCATTGAAGTGAATGTTAAACTACAAAAAGGAGGGTTGAATTGCTACCTTTTTTTTAAAAATCAGTTCTTTATGAAAATATTTCTTTAGAAGGTAAAGGTTTTGAGTACTAAAACTTGGAGTATTTTTTTGAAAAATAGTTTCTAAACTTACTTGTTTATAAAATTGATTATGCAGCAATATAACAACAAATACAATAATGGTAAATAAATAATTAAGAAGATAAAGAGAGTGAGGTTGCACACAAATTTTATATTGGTTCACCTCAATTGGGCTACATCTAGTCTCTACACAAACTTAAAGGATTTTCACTATCATAGCCAATTATTGTTCAACAAAACTCGATCACTTGTTGATACAAAACATTGTTACACAGTCACCTGCTCTTAGTAGCAAAGCACTCAGTCACCTGTTGAGTTTTCCTTACTCAACCACCTATTGTAAAAACAACTCTACAACCAACTACTATGAGATTACACAACACCTATTATGATTCCCTTTTCTTTCTTACACCTCTGCATACTCAAATCTGGGTAAGAATAATGTTTACTATAATAGGTTTTGTGGTCTTGCAAGCTACTAAGGTCATAGTCAACTCTCCTATGATGAAGCTTCCACCAAGAAAGGTTTCACACTTTTTTCTATTATATTACTGATACAAATATAATGAAGTGGAAATCTATGAATGAATCAGAGTATGAAGTAAGGATTACAACTTTGCTAGCTTATTTAGTTATTTTCTCTCTTTGATCTTGCTTATTTTAAGTCATGTCCTTTGTCTTCCCTTTATAGCCACTTGAAATAGATTCATTGTGCCTTACTTAGTTTTTAAGCAAATGTTGACATTACAGTACATTGCTTTTTTTGGGTTTGTCAGCTCTTTGTACATATAAGGTACCTTCTAAGTAGGTCATTACTTCAAGCATATTGAACTGAATCTTTAATACAAGTCTTCTAAGAAACTATATTTTAATTAAAGCCTTCTAATATATATAACTCAAAGTGTTGGTCTTTTGAACTAAGTCTTCAAGATATTTCTTCTGAGAATAAATGTTTAACCTGAATATTTCTAAAGCAAAGACACAGGATGCTCATCTTCTTACTTAGGACAAACAAGACTTTAGTGTCAAAAGGTAGTCCAACCGAATTCATTCATATATAAGAATGTCTTATGAATCTTCTTGACTACTTAAACTCAAATAGTCGTTTGATCAATTATATGTATTTTTGAAACATTTAAACAAAATTATTAACACACACATGAGAACTCTTCTATTTCAAAATTTGAAACTAAGAATTTGTCATTATTAAAACTTATATTTAAGTAGGATTCAACAATCTTTTCCTTTTTGATAATGACAAAACTTATATGCAAATTCTAAAAAAGCTTATACCTATCAAAAATCTCGTATTCATTTTAGATTTATAGTATTAAGTTATTATAGAGATTCTAAATCACTTCCCCTCAATTAATTCATTATTCATTCATTATACAAACTTACTCCCCATTAATTCAAGAATTTTTTACTATAGAGTTCCTCCTCAACACATGCATTAATTTATCATTCATATTGGTGATACATCAATAAGGTACAATAGAATAATTTTTAGTGTCATTCAAACAGTCAAAGCAAAACAAATATTCAGACCAAGCATCAAAAGGCATAACCAGATATATGACCTACAGTAAAGTATGTATCAAAATGAAGATGCAACAAAAGTGCACACAAAATGCAACCAAATGAATTGTCATATTATAATTATCCATAAAAATTTGCAAATCCTAAAAACTATAAACTAGATCTTAAACTAAAACCTAGACTTCTCCCCCTTTTTGTCATGAAAAAAAAAAGGTCTTAATTTAGTCTTGGAGGGAGATGAATCCTTTAAAGACTTTGAAGAGGGGTAATCCACCTCTCTAAATTGTGGTGGAAGAGCATGAGGTGGTGGACGTACTTATGGAATGACCTTAGGAACTAGCTTGGTAGCCAACCACTCTTCCAACAAAAAGAATCTGTTAAGGAAGTCATTTAGGATGTGTTGCAACTTTGTCTAGTTGGAGAAGATTAATTTATGTTCTTTTATAACAAAATGAACTTATTTTTCCTATATCAGAGAGCCTATTCTAAGTAGACATAGAGAGGCTAGGAGTAGTTTGGGCAGATTTAGAATTAGGCTCATATACAAAAAAAAAATCTAGTTTGCAAGTAAACATCACCAACATTGATTACCTTGGATACACCATCATTACCTTCTGTTAAATTAAAACAATTGAATTTTTGCTTCTATGAACCCTATTTTTAATTTAATGTATTTTTTTTTGTTATAAAATCAACTCAATTGTAAATAATGATATAAAGTTTTTTTTATTTACAAATAAAAATGATATAAATTAAATTAAGAAAAAAGATATATGTATAATAAAAAATGATGTTGTACAAATTGTTATTGTATATTATTATAATAAAATTAATTATGTACCAACTTATTTGAATATTTTAAACAATTTAATAACTATCAAATAATTAAAATAACAACCAAATTTCTCGACCATTTAAAACTTTTAAAATATATCCTTCTAATTTAATAAGGATCGAGAATCTTTTGTCAAAATTTGATAAATTTTAACGATAAAAATTTAAATAAAAACAATTATGAAGTTCTAGAATCTAATTATAAAATAATAGTAATGTATTTTAAAAATGAAGTGATTGAGAAAAGAATGATTTAAAATGTGAACATATAAATTATACATACATTAAAAAGTTTGGTAAGATTTATCCCATTTGATTGGATGAAATATTGGAATACGGTGACTTGTTATAAATACATACGAGTCAGCAAGTTTGACTTGGTGGCGGCGTTAATTTACAGCAAAGTAAGGATAAATGCAACTTGTACTCTCTTTTTTTTTTCTTTTTTTTTTCTTAAATCTTCTTTTTTGTCCTAATAGCATTTATTTCATATAATTTATGAAATTAAATAAACTAATAATTTATGTGGACCAGATCTTCGTGTGATTGCGGATTTGACTCTCTATTTGTTGCTGCAAATTAAATTGAGACAAATTTATATTTGGGTTTAAAAAATGAGTTTATACTTTAAATTATTTTTATTTTTGTTAGTTTTATCAAATTTGAGTTAACTTAAATCTCTTATATTCTTTAATATTAATTTATGTATATATTTTTAATAAATTAATATTAAATTATTAGTTATATTTTAATTTAAATAATATGTAAAATTAATAAATATCAATAAATACAACAAAAATATATTTTTAGTTAAATATATAATTTTAATTTTATTTGATTATTGTTATAATTAAAATTAGTTAATTGTTAAAATAATTAATTCATATTTTAATAATTATAGAAAATGAAAGTATTAAAATATTAGACGGAGAGTTATATCTTCGAATCTAATCTCTAAATCCGAACCAATATTACAAGAAAAGAAAAAAAAAAAAAAAAAAAAAAAAAAAAAAGGGAAAAAAAAGGGAAAAAAAATCCAACTCGATCAAACGAAGTTGGATTAAAGTCATAGGAATTTAAATTTTCTTGCAAGTTCAATGCCTAATTGTAGTAATATTGAGGCCTGTAATTTACTCATTTGGAATAGCGAAGTGAGCTTGGTATTTTTAATTTTGTTTTTTTTTATTTGTTTTTTTTTATTCAAGTATAAATCTTACTAACGGGTCACTCTCTAATTCGGGCCCATATAAATTAGACTATCTACACCCTAAACGGGCCTTATTCTTATCCAGGACTAGCCGTTGGCCCGCACGTTCTTAACAATGGTTTAAAAATTGATTAGTTATCAAATGGTTA